GGGCTTGTGCCCTAGTGGCTGGCTTGTACCCTAGTGGCTGGCTTGTCCCCTAGTGGCTGGCTTGTACCCTAGTGGCTCAGCCCTTCTCATACCCTACTGTGTTATTATTACAAGATATTACAAGATATAAGTTGTCACATCACACCTTTTAAAATGCAGATAAACAAGCTCTGACACGTCATCTAAATGTGTATTTGTGGTAACACTTGCCTCCTGAACATGAATCCTGAAAGATTCAGGTCTAGCTTTGTTTTTTTTCTTTTAATACAGTGAAAAATGTCCAGTAGAAGCCAGCGCTATGGGTTCCAGTCAGCCACCATGGTGCAGCCTGCCAATGGCGATCATGTGTATCTATTTGCAAACAATGGCTCAGAGAATGACCTGTCAGAGGAGGACAGTGAGATTTATGAGCTGCGGCCTCGTGGCAAAGAGCGTCAACGGAGGAGCACATCCAGAGAGAGGACTGACGATATTATCTTCCTGAGCAGAGACATCCAGGAGGGTGACACTCTGAACAGCATTGCTCTGCAGTACCATTGTTCAGTAAGTCTGTTTGTTGATTCAACCGATAGTGTTTAAAATACTCTGCAACTCTGAAGTGAGGTAAGAAAAAGCAGCAGTTTTTTTTCTTTAAGACATAACATCTATTTGGCTAGTTAGTTTAGCCAAATGAAATAAACATAGAAGGGGAAATGCATCATTGTAGCATCCTGCACCCCGCTTCTCTGAGCATTAAATTGCTCTCTACCGGGGGTACTCAAACTCAATGTCCTCAGAGATTTTTTCAAATGCCTCAAGGGCAATTTATTATAGTTGCTCAAGGCACGAGCTGCAATGTATTTTAAAATAATATGTACAGTGCCTATCATAAGTATTCACCCCCTTGGATGTTTTACCCTTTTAGTGCTTTCATAAATCAATCATGGTCAATAAAATTTGGCTTTTTTAACACAAGAATTTATTGGAAAAAAACTCTTTAATGTCAAAGTGAAAACAGGTTTCTACAAAGTAATGTCAATGAAATAAAAATATATAAAGAAATATAATTGTTTGCATAATTAATCACCCCCTTTTTAAGTTAATGGTCTAATTCAATAGAGGTCCATCAAATTCTTGCCAATAGTCTCACAATTAGTGAAATGAAGATCACCTGAGTGGTGTGGGTGTGCTTCAAGTGATTGAGGTATAAAACACCTGTGTCCGAATGGTCCAGACTGGTGGATCAGTATTCTTGGCGACAATTACACCATGAAGACAGAAGAACACTCCAAGCATCTCAGGGAAAGGGTGATTGAGAAGTACAATTCAGGGGATGGATACAAACACATTTCCAAGGCATTGAACATCCCCCGGAGTTCAGTGAAATCCATTATCAAGAAATGGAAGGAATATGGCACTTGTGTGGATCTGCCTAGATCAGGCCGCCCTCGTAAACTAAGTAGGAGACCAGTGAGAGAAGCAACCAAGACCCCTACGACTACTCTGAAGGAGTTACAACTTCAGCTGCTGAGATGGGAGAGACTGTGCATATAGCAACTGCTGCCCGGGTTCTTCACCGGTCAAAGCTTTATGGGAGAGTGGCAATGAGAAAGCCACTGTTGAAGAAAAGTCATATTAGATCTCGACTACAGTTTGCCAAAAAGCACGTGGTCAAGTGGAAGAAGATTCTTTGGTCTGATGAGACCAAAATCGAGCTTTTTGCCCATCAGACAAGACGTCATGTTTGGCGGAAACCAAACACTGCACATCACCAAAAACACACCATCCCCACTGTTAAGCATGGTGGTGGTAGCATCATGCTGTGGGGATGTTTCTCAGCAGCTGGACCTGGAAGGCTTGTAAAGATAGAGGGCAGAATGAATGCTGCAAAATACACTGAAATAAGATTGGACAATCTTATTCAGTCTGCAAGAGAACTACGGCTTGGGAGAAGATTTATTTTCCAGCAAGACAATGATCCAAAGCATACTGCAAAAGCTACACAGGAATGGTCGAGTCAAAGCCCAGACCTCAAACCTATACAGTATTTGTGGCTGGACTTAAAAAGGGCTGTTCATGCCCGATACCCACGCAACCTGACAGAGCTTGAGCGGTTTTGCAAGGAAGAATGGAGCAAAATTGCTGTGGGCAGATGTACAAGACTTATCGAGACTTATCCACACAGACTCACTGCTGTGATTGCATCCAAAGGTGCATCTACAAAATACTGACTGGAAGGGGGTGATTAATTATGCAAACAATTATATTTGCTTATATATTTTTATTTCATTGACATTACTTTGTAGAAATCTGTTTTGACTTTGACATTAAAGAGTTTTTTCAATAAATTTTTGTGTTAAAAAAGCCAAATTTTATTGACCATGATTGATTTATGAAAGCACTAAAAGGGTAAAACATCCAAGGGGGTGAAAACTTATGATAGGCACTGTATATTAATATGTCGCGACCTTGGAACATGCCATTTTCATTCAATCAAGGATCCTACTGCTGGCATACTGCCTAAAAAGTGCAGTTTTCTAGCTAAAAGCCTTTTAGTGTAAAGAGCAGCCAGCATCTGGTTAAATTCTTAGACAGGAATGGTGAGGCAAGAGCTGCTCAACCACATCAGCCTCAGCCACGAGGTAGACTGTAACTTGATCTTACACTGTACTTATATAAGCATAAAAATTTAGTGATAATTTTATACCTAAATTATTTCAAAAGCATCAGATAAAATGACCTCCAGGCAAAAGGTTTACAGTGAAGACTGTCACACCCATGTCTATTAGCTCTAGTGTCAGATATAATATTATATAGTATTTTAGCTGTTTTAGCTGTTCTCTCTTTTTTTACTAGGGCTGTCGATTAATTAAAATAAAATCACAGTGTAGCTGTTTTTAATCAGGACTGTTATTTAAAATTTGAGTCAGATTAATCTTCACAAATTAATTAACCTGTTCATTTTGATGACTGTCAGAAGTTGTTTAAATTAATTGTTTAACAAAAAGAGTTTTAAGTGTGTTGCCTGGTTACAGATTTAGCCTTTTAGAAAGTACCAGTTTTCCTTAAAACTTGAGTTTTTGCCTCAGAAATCAGATCTTCATCACAAATTAAATTTATTAATATTTTTCATTAAATCAAATAATTCTCTCCTGTTTTCTAGGTTGCAGATATCAAGCATGCCAACAACCTCCTGACAGAGCAGGACTTCTTTGCCCTGCGTTCAGTAAAGATTCCTGTGAAGCGTTTCAGTGTCTTGACTGAGACTCACAGCACTGGTCCTCTTAAGCCTCCAACACCCACAGGTGCCAGGCGACTGCCTCAGACCTTACCGGTTCCCTCGCTGCCTTCTGAGTTCTCCACAGACTCTTCGTCCTCTACGGACAGTGTAGAAGGTTTTCTCCTGGAGAAGGACAAGGACATTGAGCGTCTGGTAAAATCCACCGGCCCTCCTCGGAGCAGCCTGAATGAGGTAGTTTCCTCCCTAACACTGCAGCAGCTGCTGCTGGCAGAAGTAGAGTACAAGCCAGTTCAACGAAAAGACCCTTACTATGGGGCAGACTGGGGTATGAGATGGTGGACGGCAGTGGTCATTATGCTGGTTGTCGGTATCGTCACGCCTGTGTTTTACCTACTGTACTACGAGTTCTTAATGAAAGTTGAGGTAAGCCATTACGGCAATAGCGTACAAACAGGTGAGAACATGGCTCCTGGAAATCTCAATGGAAATAATTTGGACATTTCAATTGAAAAGGAAAACAATGCAGGAGCTGCTCCAGGACATCATGTTGAAAATGTGGTTAAAGATGTGGACGAAGCAGGGATTGGTGAAAATGTAGGGCATGAAAAGTCATAGCAAGGTTTTGTTTTTTGTTGTAAAACAATGCAATTTGTGTAGACCAACACATTTGGATACATTCAACTACAGAAAGGCTGCTTTTTGAATTGAGGATATTTGATATCCAAATAGTTGTCAGATTTTCATCAATCTAGAGAATACTTCATCTGGACTGCCTTATTTTTACTAAGCGCCATTAAAAATGTTAAGCATTATTTCCAGTAAGACATCCAAACCAATTAATTTATTTTGTTTATTGTTAACGAAAACTCTTTAATCTGATCCAACAGTGTTTTTTCCCCTCAGTCAGGTTCTTCATTTTTAGTGCTTGTGAAAACTGAATTGAAAATGCTGTCATAGTGTTTAACACAGACTTGTGTCAGACCATTGGATTTACTTAAACTATCAGTATTGGAAGTTACCAGTTGTGTTTATGGTTCCATCAAACCTTTGTGAATATGTTGTTCTTAAAATCTGCCTGGACAGAAAATTGATTTTTTTCTATTGAAAGACAAAAGCACTACGTGTCTGGTGAGGACCATGGGAATGGGACGCAGAATTCCCAAAATAATGACTTTTCTGACTTTGTGATATATAGCCCTTTTTATTTGATCACTGTGTTTTTATTTTATGACTAAGCATTTTGTATCATCAACAATATGTGCCTTTCAACCTGTGGAAATGTGCTGCAGGCTGTAAAATAAATACATCTATTTTGAATAAATTATTGCCAGTTCACACACAGTTTGACATTTCTTATTTTACATTAGATATTTAAGGAAAAGGCTGACCTGAGCTCTAATGAAAAGAAAAACATATCTACAGCTTTTTATAAAAAGAAAAGTCACAGTGATCATTTACTTCAGCATACTCTGGCTGTTGGCTCAGTAGTTTGCTTCTCCATCCATGTTGTCATCACTGTCCGCAGCAAAGTCTTCACTGTTGTCAAAATTTAAATCATTATTTTAAGTTCTGTTAAGCTTTAAATTGCCTTCTGTGAGTTAACAAGACTGTACAGTTGTTTCAACTTTACTGTGCAAGTTCACAATGAAATGAGTGAACTTGATTATGAGCATTCTGTTCACTTATCCAACTTAATAATTTTAACTAAAAGTGTTTTATTCATCAATATGCATTCTGTACACTTACCCTGATAACTGGGTTCAATCTTGTAATTTCCAATTAAATAACATTTTTTATTAGAACTATTATAACCAATGTCAAAATACAGACACATACAACAGGCAGGCGGAAGCAACAAAAAGACACGGAAAGCGGTGCTTACAACACCAAAATAAAACAAACAAACAAAAAAAAAACACTAGTCATTTGAATAATATTGTATGACGACTTCGATTCCGACAAAGAAACTTAGACCCAGGTCAGGCCTGCCCATCGCGAGCTCTGGCCCCGTCCGTCAAGCCACGTGCATAATATGCAAGAAAAAGGACATCGTAATGCAGATCTTACAGGAGTGGGCAAAAACCTCAGCTTGTACATAACACATAGGGATCAATGTCACTGTATGACTGTAATGCAGGGTGTACAATCTGTTCATACTGTTGAAGACCTGCCGTGTGATCATGAAGAATGTGACACGTTGCAGTTTAATAATTTTTTTGTTTTATGGTTGATCAGTGTTGTTTTTAGTTAGGAGCGAATAAATGAACGAATGAATAAACAAATGGTACTTGTCATTGATTACTTCTTTTTATTGATCAAAATGACTTAACATAGAACATTCACCTTATCGTCTATTTGCCTCATTGTTCTTCGTGCTTGAAGGACGGGGCCAGAGCTCGCGATGGGCAGTCCTGACCTGGATCTTGGTTTCTTTGTCGGTCTCGGTGTCGTCCTGCTCGATGTTGATGAGATGGTCTCACTTCTTGAGCGGTCTTCCGTATCCTCTCCTCTCTCTCTTTCACGCTCGAGACGACTCTTCACTTTAGCAATTGCACTCTTGTCAATAAACCTCTGGTAGCATGTGAGATGGAAAGCAGCGTTCTCGGGAATGCTTTCAAACTCCAAATCCAGGCAGTGTTCGTAGTTTTCAGCTACGTATCGACACTCACCGCTCAACCCGAGCCACCGTTGTAGACCCTTCTTGTACGTATTTCACCGTGCGAGTGTGAAAAACTGAATTTTTCTGTGCTTCACAGAGGCTATGTGCCTAAATACACTGTTTATGTCCTGATGATTTCATTGTTTTACTCATTTTTGGTGAGTTTCTTCTTCTTTGGTACTGCTAGATGAAACTCTGCAGGCAGCCATCTTGCTTTTCTGTTTACCAAAAGCTGCTACCCTATTGGTGTAGTCCGGTCACGTGTCGAACCGTGCCACCGCTCGCGCACCAAAATCTTATTGCGCTCCGAAGACGCTAGTTATTTATTAAATACATAGATATAAAAAACGGGCAGGATATTCTGCGACGAACTTTTTGCTGTAAGTTTAACGTAATTCGTTCTTTTTATGTGTCACAATTTTATGTCAATTTCATTTATTAGGTCACTACAACTAATTAATAATAGCCAACAATATCTAAAATATCCACAACACTGTGCTGACCTGCAGCTAATCACTGACGACCTGAACTTCCTGGTTTTGATTATTTTTGTAAACTGTTGTTATTCATTGAAGCCACCCAATTTGCCAAGATCTCTAAAAACCCTTCAGATGTTTAGTTGTTATTAATACTATTGATTATAGTATATGTGTAATACTCCAAGTAATACATTATTGCTATATTAGTAGGTTAAAATAATAATTAAAGATAACTTTAACGAGACTGGTTGTGTTATTAATTTGAGACTGGTTAATAACACCGAGTGCTCCTAAGCAGTACTCGACCCATTGCACCTACAGTAGGCAACAAACTGCCGAATATATTATAGCTAAAACCGAAACTGATTCTTTCAAGATCGCTAAAGTCGGCGTACAAATGAGTACAACCTTCTTTACAACGCCCACAATAGGGCTAAAGCGCCACCTGCGGTAAAACGAATGAAGGATGCGATAGGCGATGTAATCATGAAGTGTTCTTAATGTACTTGACTGGTGCTAAACATCAGGGAGGATACATTATTGATGATTTAATGGCTGCAGCACATTACTATGCTCATCTCTGTTCCCACTGGAGAATTTACAGGCACAGAGAGCAGCTGGAGGAATTTGGCGGGGAACCAAAAATGACTTGCCAAATGAGGGATGGAGAGGTAGAGCAGCTTGTTGTAGTCAATCACTGGGAATATGTTTGATTTCTTCCATAGAATCATAAAATGTTTCTGGGTTACATGAAGCAAATATGATAGTATGTTCATCTGCATGACCTCTTTCAGTTTTCTTGTTTGGAGTACTATTGTACTCAGTCCTTCAGTGCTCCAGCACAATTGACACCTGCTTTAGTTATGTCAACCACAATCCACTACATATGTTAAATGAACAAAGCTTAGTCTTTAAAGCTGGATAGCTAGATGTATTAGTAGTTCTTATGGCAATATTTTTATTCTGACATGATTAGTTTAATCATTAGCAATATTGTACTAGCAAAGTTTGTCCTAGTTCATCTAGTCCTAGTTTGTCCTAGTTCATCTAGTCGTGCAGCAGTGACAGGCAAAACAATCAAACACTCTTCCACTAGGTGCCAGCAGATGGCTGTAAAAACTAAAACAAGAGGGACATATAATTCCTGCTAGTATACCAGTATTGTGTTCAACTAAACAGGATAATGTTTTTCATTGAGTAGCCCTTAGCCCTTCAGAATCAGGACTGTAGCTGATCTGAACACAGACCATCATGTAACTGCTCTCATCTGCATTCCTATACCAGAGGAGAGCTGTAACTTAAAACCATAAAAAAATACTTAACCTCAACACCACCAGCCTTGTAAAGTAGCACACATTGATCACTTTTACATCCATTAGTTAAAGCATTTTGCCAACTAGAATAAATGTCTCTTAGCTCTTGAGTCTTTAGAGACAGTTGTTTGACTTTTGTCAGTCTATTGTCCCACAATTGAAGACACAAACCAAATCAAATATGCGACAGTGGAGGTAAAGCAGCTGCATGAGCCTTTTGTCCATGCAGATGAATGATGTATTCAGTTACACTTGGGAAGGAAGTACCGATTTATCCGTCACTCATAGAGTCACATCACATCCATCGCAACATCAGTAAACTGACAATCTTGCTACCTTTATATGGTGTAATAATGTCATTGTTTTGGTGAAAAGCCACGTCTTAGGAGTCGACCATGTTTTGGCATATAATACAAATATACTGTAATATCAGGCAGTGAGTGCACTTCCTGTTGGTGACTCCTGTATTAAAAACTAGACACAGGACTTTTAAGTATTTTTAGTACAGTATGGTGCAATTTCTGCAGCACCAGCCAAATACTTGGACTTGTTCTGCTGTGTCAGAACCACTGCTGCAGTGCAGTTAAAACCCTGGCATGTCACAGTCATGCCCTATGTGTGAGGAACCACCGATAAACTGAATGTCAAGACTCTGGATATCATGCAGAAATGAGGTGACTTTTGAAAACAATTAAGGAAAATTATTAAAATAGTTTTGTTATGATGGAAATGTTATGATCTGAAACTCATAAAGAGCCTAAGCGTGTGCCAGTGTCGGCCTGACCCAAGTCTATTTTGAGCATCTTCAAACACATTGCACAACAATGGTAGTAAATATCTCTTCGTACAGCATGTTAGCCCTGCATAGTATTTAGTTTCATGATTTCGGAATATTGGCAGATTTGCCCTAATATAATTTTTATTGTTATGTAGATGTTAAACGACATTAGCGTTTGTGTAAATGAATGACATACACGTAGCTTCAAAACAGGCAAATAAACAGTAGTAATTTAAAATATACACAACTGAATCTTTCTCCTCTCTTCTAGGTGGTCATCAACCTGGGCGACTGACAGCTGACCGTGCTCCACATGCCTGGTCACTCCAGGGGCAGCATCTGCCTTCACAATCGAGACAATAAGTTGCTCTTTAGTGGAGATGTGGTGTATGACGGTGCCATGATTGACTGGCTGCCCTACAGCCGTGTCAGTGATTATGTCAGCAGCTGCGAGCGATTGGTTGGACTGGTGGACAGTGAAGAGGTAACTCTGCAACACACTGGTGGAAAAAGAACTGAGTTCTGTCTACTTCCTTGAAACTGGTTTGATTACCAAACATATTGATCAGCTTTAATGTTTTAGCATCATGGAATATTAATCTAATTTTATATATATTTGTGTGTTAGATTGAATTGTCTGCTAAGGTTCGTGTAGTTTCCTAATCGGTGAAGCCATGAACTTGACGCTCTCCTCCCTCGTTATCCACTTGAACGACAAAAACCAAACTCCACACGTGGCAAAATACAACAGTCCAGCATTAGGAAAATAAAAAATCAAGAGCCAAAGACAGTTAAAAAATCTCTAAAGGTAAAGTAAAGAGCAAAGAAAGAGGTCTAAAAACTGTGTGGCTCCACTCATGACACTGACCTGACTTACTGCTTTATGTCAACCACACCCACACATTCCCTCCCATTTAAGGTTACATGTGCGATTTTTAAACCTAAAAACCTCCACACATTTTTAAGTGAAATGAATTAAGTACTAACTTATTAATATGAACTGTTCACCTGTAAATAAGGTAAATAACCTCTTTTTTATCATAATTAACAACAATCTTTTTTCACATATCAACTTAAATTATGTTTCAAATACTTATCAACAAAAATAGCATTTAGGCTCCTATAGTTCGGATCACAGGAAAATCTGTATTATAAAACCTGAAGTCACAAGATAAGGTATTTGGATGAGTCATGGAAGTACAACAGTCTATTGTGGGCTGTTGGGTGAAATTGGTGATGTTTATATTAATTATAATCTCCAATTTCTAGCTGGAAAATGCTGTCAAACGGCTAAAAGGCAGCAAAGCAAAACATCAATAGATATTGTAGGTACGAGGAACTTTTTTCTGAGTTTGTTTTGTGACTAAAAAAAAGTATTTTCTGCTGGATGTTGTCATTTGGAGTAAGTATGACAGCATACTTACTCCAAGTATGAAACTTGAAGTAAGTAGTTATGAAACTCCAAGCAGAAACAGAACTTTCAGTAGAAAGCAATAGAGCCACTAATGTAAATGGTGAATTCTTGACATGTCAGGAAACTTTTTCTTTTAGATAGGACTGTAAAATATGCTGTTAGTTCATACCCCAGTTTCCTAACACACAAAGAATCAAATACGAGATCTCAAAGTTTAAAAGTTTTACTTGCAGCAAGGAGTGCAGAACAATGGTTACATTCAGAACTGCACTGAGGAACACCTCAGTGCTCAAAGCTTAAATACAGTTTTTTTACACACACACTTCAATGGTCAGTACCTTAACCCTTTACAGCCATGTGGTGTTCTTGCGCAACTTCTGAGCACTGATTGGCAAAGGCTGCTCCAAACAAGGTTTCTCCACCAATAGGAGCTATGTGGATGTGCTGTAGTTAATCAAGTCAGATAAGACCATGCAGTTCGGATGTTTTTCTCTCTTTGTCTTTTGTTGGTCTTCCGTCGGTCTCCTTATTTGGAGAAAGAAACCAGTTCTGACCGGTTCTGTGTCCTGTCTCTATCTTCAAGTGTAACAGTCGGTACCATTCAGTGCTGTCCATATGATCCTGTTATGTAAACTATCAGCATGCACACCTATCTTCAGCACTTTCCCTTTTAGTACAGCACAATAACAGCATTCAATAACAGTATAAATTGATATGGAAACTTAATACAATGAATATATTGTAAAGATTGAATAAATTTATTTAGAACATCTTAACATGACAGAACCTTGAATTATCATTATACAGTCAAATCACAAAAATAAAGGACTAATGAAAATATTACTACAGTATAAAGGGCCCAGTCATTTTCAACAGCCAGAAATATAAGGACTTTGCAAATATTTGATACAAAACACAATATTTAAAAATCAGATGACTAATATTACAGTCTGACCATTCATCTTGTACCATTTTAACTGTTGTCAAACCACTTCACCAGGTGGACCAAGTCCTTCCTGGTCACTACAGAATCAGAATCAGAATCAGAATCAGAATCTCTTTATTGTCATATGCACCAGGGAAGGTGATACGAAATTTAGTTTTGTACGACCCGTTCCAAGAAAAAAACATGAATAGACAATAAAAACAATACAAATAATTGACAAGGGGGGACAGGAACAGGAAGGCCAGGACGCAGCCCGTGGTCAGCGCACCCTTATATTAGATGAAAAACAACTGAAAAA